AGTAGCGCAGAGCGATGTGCTTCGTTCTGTGCTCCAGTCTGTGCTCCTCACACAAGGCAATCATGGCCTTGTTGTCGACGTACAGAACTGGAGGAGAACGAGGCGGCTCTCCCAAGTCGGTCAGCAGGTAGGTGAGCCACCGTAACTCCTGTGCAGCCATGGCCCCTGTGTAGATCTCAGCCTCACAACTGGAGCTGAGAACAGAAGACGAGCGGGTAGACTGCCAAGAAACAGAGCCAGAGCCAAGGCTGAAAGTGTAACCCTGTGACGAACGCTGCGTAGCCAAGTCGTCAACCCAAGAAGCGTTGCGTGACCAGTGAGGACAAGCAAATGGCCACAAGGCCAGTTCACATGCAGAGTTATATAAAGGAGAACAAGCAGTACAGTAATCACAACCTAGCAAGTGTAAGCATGCAGGTATATGTATATAGATCACAGTACAAGCAAAGTCAAGAAGTGAGCAAGTGAGGCCAAGTAGGCACAAGGCCTAGAACAGTACAGAAACGCTGATGATCACAAGGTTGAAGTGCCTTGGTGAAGATATCAACAGTGTTGGCCTGAGAGGCCACGTAAACAAGACGAAGCTGGCCACGCTGCTGCAACTCTCGAGCAAGGAAGTAGCGCAGAGCGATGTGCTTCGTTCTGTGCTCCAGCCTGTGCTCCTGACACAAGGCAATCATGGCCTTGTTGTCGACGTACAGAACTGGAGGAGAACGAGGCGGCTCTCCCAAGTCGGTCAGCAGGTAGGTGAGCCAGCGTAACTCCTGTGCAGCCATGGCCCCTGCGTAGATCTCAGCCTCACAACTGGAGCTGAGAACAGAAGACGAGCGGGTTGACCGCCACGAAACAGAGCCGGAGCCAAGGCTGAAGGTGTAACCCTGTGACGACCGCTGCGTAGCCAAGTCGTCAACCCAAGAAGCGTCTGCGTGACCAGTGAGAACAACTCGAGCCCGTCCTCCAAGCACGAGCCCCATGCCCGACGTACTGCACAAGTAGCGCAACACCCTCTTAGCGGCCTTCCAGTGCTCTGGTCGGTGTCTCCCGGGCGCAACGTAGCGAGCCAGGATGCTAAGAGGGTAAGCAAGGTCAGGTCGAGTGCAGGTCATCAGGTACATGAGGCAGCCCACAAGCTCTAGATACAGGCCACTCGGCTTTACGGACTCATCCGAAGGCAGAGCTGAGAGCGAGTGACCGGTAGGCAGAGGAGTGGCCTGTGGCGAGGAGTACTCGAAGCCGAAGCGCTGAAGGACCTGCTGCACCATGTGTGACTGAGTCAAGGTAATGGTGCGCCGTGCTCTGTCCCGGGTGATCTGCAAGCCAAGGTAGCTGCGCAGCTCACCCAGGTCTGTGCACGTGTGTCTCTTCTGCAGCTCCGACTTCACGTGGGCCAGTCCAGCAGTGTCAGCAGTGGCAAAGACCAAGTCGTCGACGTACACGAGGATGTAGAACGGCGGCAGCGAAGTGTCGGTGCGTAGAAACAGCGACGGGTCAGCAGTCGAAGGAGCAAACCCAAGAGCCGCAAGCGTCGTCCTCAGTGTGTCGTGCCACTCGCGAGGCGCCTGGCGGAGACCGTAGACTGGCCGCCGGAGGCTCCACTGGGTACCTGCAGGAAACGACCCAGTGAAGCCAGGTGGGCGGCGCAGCCAGATCTCCTCGTGCAGGCTGCCCTGTAAGAAAGCAGTGCTGAAGTCAAGAGAGTGAAGCTCGTAGTCACGCTGAGCGGCGACGTGCAGCAGAACCCGAAGAGTGGTCATCTTCGGGGTAGGGGAGAAGGTCTGGAAGAAGTCAACTCCCTGTCGCTGACTGAAGCCTCGTGTAACGTAACGCGCCTTGAAAACAGGCGGAGAACCCAGCGGCCGCTTCACCCTGAAAATCTACATGCCACTGACGATGTTCGCCCCAGGTGGGGGAACCTCGTCGATGTAAGTGCCTGTGGACTTCCAGGATGCCATCTCTGCTTCCATGGCTGTCTGCCACTGAGAGGAGTAGGGACCCTCTATCGCCTCTGCGTAAGAGCGCGGGGTCGGGATGTCTGGTGCATCCGGGTCTCCCTCAGGTGCAATCAGCATGGACACGAGATGAGGTACAGCAGCTGCAAAACACTCAAAGTCCTCCTGCCTGTCCTCAAGGACGTCCGTGCCAAGAGCACACTCACCCCCGACGGACGGAGGACAGACAGACTCAGACTCAGCAACAAGACTAGCGGCGTAGTCTAGACGACAGGCGGCAGCAAAGTCAACAAGCTCAGCAACTAGGGCAGACGCAGCAGAGGACTCAAACGAAGGGTCAGTGACAGCAGTAGCTAGAAGACGTGTGACAGTAGGACTGGCAGCACGAGCAAGGTCTGACGGCGGGTCAGGGACGTCAGGAAGAGAGGACGCAGGAGGAGACGGCAGAGGGACACGCTGTGGAGCAGTGGAAGGACGAAGTGCCATCTGGTGCGTGCCTGGGACAGGGGGAGGACGCTGACGCGGAACACGACGACCAGTGCAAACAGCGCGAACAGGCGACGCAGGACGAGACTCAGGCTCACGACGCTCCGTAAGACCTCTAGTCGGCCCAGAGTAAGGAGAAGGACCAGGCAGTGGAGAGGCTGGCTGTAACTGCGACTGCGACTGGTCAGGCGGTGGACACAGTAAGGGAGAAGTAGGACCAGTAGAAGGCGGGAGGCCAAGAACCTGCTGAAGGAGTGGAACGAAGTACGGCCGCTGCCGTGCAGCGCCTCCAGAACCAGCAGAGACAGCACCAGTACCCCCAGCTCCAGGGTCTCCAGATCCAACTCCCGCAGCAGCACCAGCTCCAGCACCACCTCCAGCAGCAACAGCCCCAGCGCCTCCAGCTCCAACTCCTGCAGCACCACCAGCTCCCGTAGCTCCAGTACCTCCAGTACGAGCACCTCCGGCAGCTCCAGCACCAGCAGGACCTCCAGCAGCTCCAGCTCCAGCAGCACCTCCAGCTCCAGCAGCTCCAGTACCTCCAGTACGAGCACCTCCGGGACCAGCGGCTCCAGCACCTCCAGCAGCTCCAGCACCAGCAGTACCTCCAGCTCCAGCAGCACCTCCAGCGGTAGGCCCCCCAGCTCCAGCAGCACGGCTCCAGCGCCGAGCAAACCACTCGCGCAGCTGCGGTGGAGAGAGTGGCTCCTGCCGTGACAAGACACCCGGAGGACCTCCAGAGGACAAAGTACCTCCAGGCTCAGCACGCTCAGGCTTAGCACCCCCAGGCTCAGCACCCCCAGACTCAGCACCCCCAGACTCAGCACCTCCAGGCTCAGCACCCCCAGCCCCCGCACTCGCAGGCTCAGCACCCCTAGCAGCACCAGAGTCGACAGCTACCTCGTCAGGCTCGACAGGGTCTACCTGGGACACACCTGAGGGGGCAGGACCCTGAGGGGGGAGGGGGTCTACCGGAGGAGGACCTGGTGCTAGGAAGAGTGGCGAGGGGGGGAGAGGGGCAGTGCGGTAGGGAAAGAGACGGTAGTAAGATACCGACTCGTCAAACGTGACGTCCTGAGAGGACAGAACACGACGCGAGGTGGGGTGGTAAAACTGCCAACCAGGCGCGTCAGGGGGGAAGCCAAGGAAGACGCAGGGAACAGCACGGGAGGACAGCTTGTCTGCGGAAGAATCGCGGACAAAAGCTCGAGATCCCCAGACACGGAACACAGACGCATCGCCAACCTCCCCCGTCCACCGCAGAGTAGGTGTGGTCTCCGGCATGGAGACACGGGGCTGGAGGTTGAGCTGATGCGCAGCGTACTGGACCGCGAACGGCCACAGAAAATGGGGAGCAGCCGCATGGATCATGGACGTACGAGCGACGTCCATGACCATGCCAATGCGGCGCTCAGCAATCCCATTTTGCTGTGGGGAGGCCGGAAGCGTGAACGTCTGGCGGATGCCCTCCGCACGACAGAAGGCCCGCAGAAGGTCGGAGGAAAACGCACCACCTCTGTCGGAGTGCAGACGCAGAACAGGAAGGTCCGAGCCGAAACTCTCGCTGAGCTGGCGACGGGCAGCGCGGATCCAGGTGATCAACACCTCAGTGACCTCACCCTTGCGGCGCAAGGGGAAGACTGTGGTGTAACGCGAGTAGTCATCAACGACCAGCAGAAAGTAACGCTCGTGACCCTGTCCACGGACGCGGGCTGGGCCCCACACGTCCATGTGGAGAGTCTGCAGGGGAGCCTCCGTCGGAGGGAACTCGGAGGAGTGAGGAGCGGCGCGCTGCCGTCCCTCGACGCAAGGAACGCAGGTAGGGGCAGGCCCCGGTGGGAGGGGAGGGAGAGACCGGGGGAGACCAGAGACAAGGGTACGGGAGGCCATACCTCGGAGACGAGGCAGGGAGGGGTGACCAAGGTGGTGGTGCCAGAGGAGAGTCTGGTGTGACAGGAGACGACACGAGCAGGGGGCAGACTCCGGACCAGACGTGGACGCGGCAGCAATCACCTGACCAGACGCGGCTACTTGACCAGACTCAGCAACCGGATGAGACTCAGTAGTCAGTGTGTACAGGCTCGACCCAGGCCGACGGGTGAACGTGGCCAGGTGGCGTGAAAATGGGGTGCGCGACGGGCCTGGCGCCGAGGTTGGGAATTGGCGAGGCGAAGGTCCGGAGCGCGGGTTACCGACCGAACCGTGACGTTTGGTCGCGGCGTGAACAGTGGCGGGGACAGTAGTCGAGGTGAGTGGTAACGGTTTACTGTTGGGTGCTGTTGGCGGGATCGGTGGTGTACGCGCTGAGTAGGGACGCGAAGTAAGGATAGGAATTTTTCCTTACAATTCGAACTTCAAACCCGAACTTAACAATTTTGGCCGAAGGACACACGCCCTAAACAGCCGAAAGCGAAGCCTGCTTTTTTGCGATGCCCTCCCATTAGTCCAGTTTAGTTTCTTAGCTTTCCGCAAAACCCGGTTCGCAGTACACGTCGCCGCGCACTCCAGACGCGCAGCCCTCGCATCGTCTCCCTCGCGGCGGTTGTGACAGTCGGTGTGGCGCGCATGGCGACCTTCGAGGCGTACGAGCGGCAGTTCAACGGCATCGTCGACGCTTTGTCACACGGTACGCGTCAGCATAGGCCGCCACCGCTCGTCTCGTGTTTGCGCTCCTCCGCCCTGCATGGTTCCCTTCACCTGCGTTTCGCTCGTCGCTCCTCATCGATTTCATCGCGTCTCACTCATCGCGTCGTGGCCGTGCAGGTGCATCCAGCGGGCGGCTGCACGAGTCGCAGCGGCGCATCGACGACGCGGAATCACTCGTACGTCGCCGTCGCTCTCCCTGCACCCTCTTCGGGTCCTCCCACGCTCTCTGTTCCCTCCGCCACCTCATTCGTCCCGCCGCTCTGCAGTCCCCGCCGCGTTGCTCTCCCCGCCGCCGCGTTGCTCTCGCCCCCGCCGCACATATTCCTCTTCGCCCCCCCGGCTCCCCTCGCCTCGTTCGCCCCTCCCCCAGATTCTCCAGATGGATCTCGAGGCGCGGTCGCTTCCCCCCGCTGACCGCGCGCACCTGCTGGCGCGCCTGCGCGCGCACAAGCTCGCGCTGCTCGCCGCCAAGAAGCGCGCCGTGGAGACGGCGGGGGAGGGGGGAGTCGTGACGGGCGGGCAAGGAGGCGGGCAAGCGGGGGCCCGAGGGGTGGGGAGAGCGGAGGAGGAGAGAGCAGCGCTGCTGGAAGATGGAAGGGACTATGTGCCTCTATCGGTGCGTGCCTCTATCGGTGCGTGCCTCTATCGGTGCGTGCCTCTATCGGTGCGTGCCCCTATCGGTGCGTGCCCCTATCGGTGCGTGCCCCTATCGGTGCGTGCCCCTATCGGTGCGTGCCCCTATCGGTGCGTGCCTCTATCGGTGCGTGCCCCTATCGGTGCGTGCCTCTATCGGTGCGTGCCTCTATCGGTGCGTGCCTCTATTGGTGCGTGCCTCTGTCCGTGCGTGCCTCTATCGGTGCGTGCCTCTATCGGTGCGTGCCTCTGTCGGTGCGTGCCTCTATCGGTGCGTGCCTCTATCGGTGCGTGCCTCTATCGGTGCGTGCCTCTATCGGTGCGTGCCTCTATCGGTGCGTGCCCCTATCGGTGCGTGCCCCTATCGGTGCGTGCCCCTATCGGTGCGTGCCTCTATTGGTGCGTGCCTCTGTCCGTGCGTCCCTCTATCGGTGCGTGCCTCTATCGGTGCGTGCCTCTGTCGGTGCGTGCCTCTATCGGTGCGTGCCTCTATCGGTGCGTGCCTCTATCGGTGCGTGCCTCTATCGGTGCGTGCCTCTATCGGTGCGTGCCTCTATCGGTGCGTGCCTCTATCGGTGCGTGCCTCTGTCGGTGCGTGCCTCTATCGGTGCGTGCCTCTATCGGTGCGTGCCTCTATCGGTGCGTGCCTCTATCGGTGCGTGCCTCTATCGGTGCGTGCCCCTATCGGTGCGTGCCTCTATCGGTTCGTGCCTCTATCGGTGCGTGCCTCTATCGGTGCGTGCCTCTATCGGTGCGTGCCTCTATCGGTGCGTGCCCCTATCGGTGCGTGCCCCTATCGGTGCGTGCCTCTATCGGTGCGTGCCTCTATTGGTGCGTGCCTCTGTCCGTGCGTGCCTCTATCGGTGCGTGCCTCTATCGGTGCGTGCCTCTGTCGGTGCGTGCCTCTATCGGTGCGTGCCTCTATTGGTGCGTGCCTCTATCGGTGCGTGCCTCTATCGGTGCGTGCCTCTATCGGTGCGTGCCTCTATCGGTGCGTGCCTCTATCGGTGCGTGCCTGCCTCTATCCCGAGGGCAGGGAGCACCAATTCGTGTGTCTGGCAGGTGGAGCAAGCAACTGGATGCACGTGTCTATCCATCTTGCGCCCTTCCCCTCTCCCTCTCTTCTCCAACTTCCACCCTCCCCCCCTCTCCCCAGGGTGCGGCGGACCAGCGGGCGCGGCTGCTGCAGGTGACGGCGCGGGTGGAGGAGTCGTCTGAGCGCGTGGCGGAGAGCCGGCGCGCGATGGCGGGCACGGAGCAGCTGGGCGTGGCCATCCTGGCCGACCTGCACCAGCAGCGCCAGTCCCTGCTGCGCTCCGGCGACACGGTGAGGGGGGCGAGGGAGGGGGGTAGTGGAGAGGAGAGACTTTGGTGAATTAGAAGAGGAGGGAGTAAGAGCCCCTGCATTGTGCATGGTGTGTTGTAAGAGAGTGAGGGCTTCACTGCTCGCACCTCTCTCACTGCTCGCACCTCTCTCACTGCTCGCACCTCTCTCACTGCTCGCACCTCTCTCACTGCTCGCACCTCTCTCACTGCTCGCACCTCACTGCTCGCACCTCTCTCACTGCTCGCACCTCACTGCTCGTCTGTGCTGTGCCTGTGCCGTGCCTGTGCTGTGCCTGTGCCGTGCCTGTGCCGTGCCTGTGCCGTGCCTGTGCTGTGCCTGTGCCGTGCCTGTGCCGTGCCTGTGCTGTGCCTGTGCCGTGCCTGTGGTGCCCAGCTGGAGGACGTGGACCACCAGATGAGTCGAGCGCGGCGGGTGCTGGCGGGCATGGCGCACAAGCTGCACCGCAACAAGTGGATCACCGCGCTCATCCTCTCGCTCCTCATGCTCGCCATCGCTGCCGTCATCTACCTCCGCTTGCGCCACTAGCAGCGCATGCCAGCCCCGCCCCTCCTTGTACAGCTCTGCTCTTGTTATGCGTTTTCTGTATATGTGGACTCAATGCAATACAAAGGAACCCATTGTACGTGCTTATCGCTTGCAGTGCGTCCGCGTTGATTTCTCTCGTGAGTCTATGGGCAATGAGCTGCACCCCAGCTGATGAAAGGCCATGCGCCACAACGAGCTTATGGCAACTCAAATGCCTCATCACATGCAAGCAGGCTACGCCATATTCAGTTACATCGTATCTTCCACAGGCTCCTTACTCTTCTCTCCCTCCCCACTCTCCACACTCTCCGATTTAGCCATCCTTGCCCCTCCACCCCCACCAGCACCGCCCCCCCTGCCGCTATCCCCCCCCTGCCACGGCAGGATGCAGAACGGCCAGCACTCGAGGGGCGTGGAGCGGCGGCAGGGCAGCGCGCGGCACTTGAGGGCGCGCGGGGCGACCCAGGTGAGGCCGCGGTCCAGCACGGGCTTGACCCAGGAGCGGCAGGGGTGCTGCGCCAGGTCGATGGCCGTGGCTGTGAAGTGGTTGAGGTGCAGCACGTCCCGCGGGGCTGTTGCCACCGACTCCGGGGGGGCTGTGGTGGTGTGGATCGCCACGGAGCTGATGCACGGGGGGGAGGAACGAGGGGGTGGGGGTGGAGGGAAGGGGGGGTGGATGTGTTGAAGGAAAATGTGGAGGGTGAAGACATGAGAGGCGTGGAGGGTGAAGAAATGAGAGGAGAGTGACGAGAAGGATGCAAGGTGAGGAGGGAAGAGAGGATGTGGTGCAGTGACGAGTGGTGGGACAGGCTGGCACGTTGCTTGGCGTGCATGCTGGTTGAGGTTATCACCAGCTGAAATGAGAGCAATGGTCAGGATGAGTGAAATGAATACCGATTTGCACTATAAGGTTGAGGGCAGAGGGGAGTCGTGGGAAGGGCAGAGGTCACTGCAGCAACACTCACTAGGGCGGCACTCAACTCGGGCGGCACTCAACTCGGGCGGCACTCACTAGGGCAGGATGGTTTGCGGGTTGACGGCCAGCTTGTCATGCCAGCCGGCCCACCCCTCCGTGTGCCACATGGGCTGAGCGCAGCGCCATGTGAGGCGGTCCAACACGGGCTCGCGGCGCGACTCCGCCTCCACACCCCAGAAGTTGAAGCGGCGCAGCTGAATGACCTGCGGGTGCATGGGGGGAGGAGGAGGAGAGGATGGCGGGAGTTGACGGGAGTCAGGGGGCAATGGGCGCTGAGAAGACGGATGAGAGGAGTGGGGCGCGTGAAACAGCCCAAGGCAACACAGCACAGTCGTTGAAGGCAACACAGCAGATAGATGCAGCAATTTGAGTGGACAGAGAAAGGCAACCTTCAGGTGGTGCCATGCTGTTGACCTCACCCGGAGGGGCTCTTTGCTGCCGCGCGGGCGGGAGTGCGTGTGGTTGAGCTCAAGGCGCGCGAGCAGTGGCTTGAGGAAGCCCCCCGTGCGCGGCTCGTACCACACGAACTCGTCACTGTCTATGTGCAGCTGCCACCGGTCTCCCAGCCGCCGCCCCTGCATGAGGCAGTGCTCGTATGAGATGATCTGATCGTAGATCTCCGGGAACTGCCCACTCACAGCGGGGAAAGGGTGGGGCGAGAAAAAGAAGCGTGCAACAGAGGGAAAAGGGTGAGCGTCAGGGGGCATGGGAGAGAGAGGGGAATGGGGGAGAGAGGGGCATGGGGGAGGGAGGGGCATGGGGGAGAGAGGGGCATGGGGGAGGGAGGGGCATGGGGGAGAGAGGGGCATGGGGGAGAGAGGGGCATGGGGGAGAGAGGGGCATGGGAGAGAGAGGGGCATGGGGGAGAGAGGGGCATGGGAGAGAGAGGGGCAAGGGAGAGAGAGGCGCAAGGGGGAGGGAGGGGCAAGGGGGAGAGAGGGGCAAGGGGGGGGGAGGGGCAAGGATATGGGAGAATATCGAAGCCTGGCATTGGTACCAGTTGCTGTGGTGGCGGATTTGGCAGGCGGGACAGAGTGCTGTGAGGTTAGCAATGAGTCGAGAGAAAGACTCACCAGGTACGGCACTCACCAGGTACGGCACTCACCAGGTACGGCACTCACCAGGTACGGCACTCACCAGGTACGGCACTCACCAGGTACGGCACTCTGGCCTTGCCGGCGTAGAGGGCGTGTCGATAGAAGACCTCGCTCCAGGGGGGGAAGGGCACGTGCTGCACCTGCCCGCGCTCGCTGTACGGCGCCAGCAGGGCGCTCATGGCGGTGGCGTGGCGGTCGTACACGTAGATGCGCTCCACGCCCATCAGCAGTGCCGCATCGATCCACTCCAGCAGGCGCGCGTGTGAGAAGGCCACGTCCAGAGAGAAGAGCTGCCGCGTGTGGAAGGGGCGCAGGCAGATCGCCACCGCCCCCATGGGCCTCCTCCTGCCGCCACTGCCGCCACTGCTGCCACTGCTGTGTGCAGCGCTGCTGCCCCCCTGCTCGCCCGTGGCGGCGTCCTCCCCATAGTCCACCAGCATCTCCTCCGCACTCCCTCTTTCCACTCCACCCGCCCCCGCGCCCTCCCCTCGCCCCGCTCCTTTCATCCTCCCTTTCCCTCCCACTCCTCCTCCCCCATCTCCCCCCATCAGCCTCGCCAGTTCCGAGCCTCCTCCCGAGCCTGCATTAGCCACGGCAGCCACCTCCCTCTCCACGGCAGCGAAGGGGAACGGCGGGGCGCGGCTGCCCGGGTGGATGAGACCGTCGCTGCCACCACCCTCGCCGCTGCTGCTGTCAGTGTCGTCGCCGTCAGCGCGGCAGAGCAGCAGGGGCGGCATGCGCAGGTCGGAGCCGTTGAGGGCGGCCACCAGCTGCACCTGCAGGCGCTGCCCGTACTCCACGTAGTGCCGCCTCGCCTCCCGCCGACTCACCCTCACTCGCACTGGCACTGCGGCGTCCTCCGAAGGGTCCGTGGGGGACGAGGAGGCGGAGGAGGAGGACGGGGAGGGGAAGGGCGGGAGGGGGCACTCAAGGGCGATGTGCCAGGGGTGGCGGTGGCGCACCACGGCGTCCACCACGAGGGCGGGCGCCACGCTGTGCAGGGCGGGGTCGTGGCCCGGCCACACCAGGCACTTCACGGCCAGCGCGCCCCGCCAGTACACGTCGCTCAGCTCCGCGGCGCCCCACCCCTCCCACTGCGTCTTGCGGATCGACTCCGAGTCCTCCAGAAACGCCAGCAGCCGCACCCACGTCGTCACCGCCGCCGCCCCTCGCTGCCCCTGCCGCCCCGCCTTCCCGCCGCCTCCGCGCGCCTCCCCCGCGCCCTCCGCCGCCTCGTGCAGCGCCTCCGCCTCGAACACCGTCAGCTGCGCGAACCGGCTGCCGAAGCTCGCCCCGTCGCGCGCCTCCTCGGGGCTCACGAACGTGCCCTGCGCGAACGGCGCGGCGGCGCTGCCCATGCAGAGGCGCACCTTGGCGCCGCGCGCGGACAGAGGGCGCACCAACGGCGGTAGCTTGACCTCACCGCGTCCGCACACCGGGCAGCCTCGTAGCGCTTCATGCGCGCGGCGGTGTGGGACGGCGCCCCCATTGGGGTCACGGGCGTCGGGCAGGGGGGGCGCGTCGGGCTGAAAGGCGATCCACACGACGAGAAAGAGGGCCGCGGCGACGGTGAGCGCGGCGTAGTGGCAGAGCGCGCGCGCCTTGGGGGACACGGCGCGCGCGGGGAAGCGGAAGGGCAGACGGCGCGCTTTGCTTTGCGGCTGCGACGATGGCAGGGAGCGCGTGGGATGAGCGGAAGCCAGCGGCTTATCTGCGGCGGGATGGTGGGGAGCGCGCGGGGCGAGAGGGACCTGCGGCGGTACTGGGCGCAAGGAGGCGAGCGGAGGAGGAGTGGCGGAAGAGGGGAGATCGAAGGGGGACGCAGCGGCGACAGCAGGCGCGCTGCCAGGCGCCCGACGACCAGGTTTGCCTGTCGCTGCCGCTGATTGCCACCTGCTGACGTCACTCATCACCACCAAGGGCGGCTGGTCATGGAAATGGCGGTATGATCACGTCTGCGGAAATCGTCATCGGAGTGTTTGCTGTGTGAGAACGGAATGAGAAATAACGAAACGCGTACAATAAAGGTGTTCCTGCTAGTGGTAATTGTCAACCACTTTTTGGCTACAATTATAAATTACTATAGGCGTTTGTATGCGCTAGTATGTGCCACAACTTGTTACAATCCCATGGGGGACCAAGTCGGAACTTGTTACAACCCCACGAGGGCCTTCGCAAACAGTTGTGATAGCGGCGATGAATTCTATTTGGCTGACGACAGGGCAACCACAGGGTACAACCCATTTAGAGTTTCCCATATGTACCCAACCCTTTACTAGTTCATTCACTCCGTTGTTTCACACTTTGAGATGGTATCCGAGTAGGTTCTTTCCGACTGCGTTGCTGCCTCTGTGCGCGCGATCAGGGCCCGTGCTAGGTTTTGGGGCATCCTGAGGCCTCAGGGCAACTTTCCAGAATCTGAAAAAATGCCCCTGATTTGTCAGGGCAAATTTTCAGAGGCTTCCTGTAGTTTCAGGGCATCTGCAGAAATTTATCCTGGCCTGTCAGGGCAAAAATACGAGTGTTCAGGGTTCTGTTCTTAACAATTCTACTGGCACCATCAGCGGAGGGTGCGGGGGTGCTCGGACAAGAAAGGATCTTTTCGGCGCGCAAGGGAGGAGGAGATAAGGCTGGTGGACAAATTAAAGGACAGCAGCAGCAAGACGTGGAAGTGGAACAACTCTTTTGCTGCCATCTGGCAGTTGCCGAGGAAGAATCACAGACCACCATAGTTGCCAATCTGGGGTAGCCACGTCGCTGCCTCTCATGCACAGTTACGACTGTTATTGCTGTATACATCTGCTGTACTTGGTGTATATATCAATTACCAAAAAAAAAAAAAAAAAAAAAAAAAAAAAAAAAAAAAAACAAGAGGCGACAAGTCGTCATAGGGTTGCGAAGCGTTTTGCATAACTACATGATTTGTTTTTCTTGAAATTGTGGTAAGTAGTATGAAAGTGTTACTCAATGTTGTCTGAAAGATGTTCACAAAATGTTAACAACGAAGTTCGAACCCGCAACCTTCCAAGCCCCAGCCCACATTTATCCAACTACACCACGGCGTCGTGCGTAATAGCGGAGCAAAATGTCTACAACCAATGTTGTTGCGACGAAGTCAGCACTACCTTAGGGTTTGTGTCGATCCTTTTTCTCTCTCGTTTCTCACAACTGCTGTCGTCCTCCCAACTGCTCTTCCTTGCGTTTCACTTACTACTCCAGCGACCCCTGCTATTCCAGCTACCTATGAAGACTACTCTTAAGCCAAGTAAAGTCGACTACGTATGCATTTATTTCTAGACGAAAAGCTATAGTAGAGTGGCAAGTCCTTACTACCTTTTTTGCTGCAACCCATGTTAGCTTACGTTGTAGGTCTTCTTCAATATTTCTGTCCATCTCAATCAAGGGCGTCTTTAAGTGCTGCAGCTCGTTTTGGTGTTGTCTCTATGTCGTTTTAAAGGGCTGCAACTCTTTTTTACCTAGCAACTAGGTCGTTCTTAAGGGCTGCAGCCAGAAGAACAACGAAGACGGTTTGTTCATTCAAGATGCAGCTAGGTCCAAATCGAAGATCCCTTCGATGTGTGTCTTGAATCATTGATTTGTTGTGTATTGTTCTCGTGATGTGCTTTCAGGAAAATGTCCAACTAATATATGGTCTCATTATCTCGGGCTGGTTGAAGGTGAGAGTTCAACCCTTAGTGTTTCATGGTATGCAACTTTCAAGTTTGTACTTCTAAGTTCTCTTTATGACAGCGTACGGAATCTTATAAGAAACATAAGCATTGGAACCTCTTATACGCATTGGAACATAAGCATTGAAACATAAGCATTGGAACATTGAGGTATGGAACCAATCTGTAAGGTATCGCAAATGAGATTATACGATTGAATGGGGTTGTGTAAATAAGCGAGAATGCTTGAAATAGTTTCATGAGGTAGAGTGCACGTGTCAACGATATTTTAACGGCTAAGTGAAAGAGAGAGTGGATTCTATGACAGTAAGATTGCAAACATATAGTAAAAACATGAAGTGGGAATGCATATGAATTTAAGATTAGTCTAGTTGAGGCGTGGGTGACTTTTGCTCCGTAGGCTTTCGCTACTTCTGTTATCAGCTCACCATTTTCCGTCATTTCCAAGATATTGCTACCACTGATTTCAAGCTTGAAGTATTGTTGTTTTGTTTTGTTTGTTTGTTATTGTTTTTCGTCAATCTGCACACAGGTTGTGAAGTGGAAGCGGACGCCATTTATAATCTCTTACTAGGTACATATTTCATGTCTCATGCCTTACCCCCTGCCTTACCCACTCTCTCTTCTCTCCCTTAATATAGATCGGCTAGGTGCCTTCTTTTCCATTCTTCCTTTTTGTTCCAGCACTTCCAGTACCTATCCAATACGCACTTCTTCTGTCCTTCCACGGCATCCATTCTATCCTTTCTATTTCGTATTTCACCTCTTGCCACATCACTTATTTAGCATGTCTGTCTCTGATTTTTTTTACTTGTGCTTCATGCTCACCTCAGTTAGTTT